ATCTTCACAAAATCATTGAATCTTTAATGTTTTAGATGATTTTTGTCTATTCGGATAAATTTACTTTAAGACACTTCAGTTCCTTGCATATTCAAGCAAAAATGTTTAGGTACAACTTATTATAGCTAATTTAATAAATTTGGTGCACTTGAATCAAACATCTAATATTCCTCTATACATTTTCAAGTATAAGTTAGTTTAAATATAATTTATATGTCATAGTAAAATAAAATATATGTTGATATTGAACCTAAACTTATCAGGTTGTATTTTCCTTGACATTATATAAACAATTGACTTTCCAAAACTTTATAAGCAAAAAAAAAAAAAAAATCTAATCTCATTCATTGCCAATGTTGATTATTTTAGACAAATATCTTTATTTCTTTTTCATAGCAATACAAGTATGACTATATAATTATACATAAAATTTATGACCTTTGAGGTATTTCTTGTAAGCTCCACTATTGGTATATTACCAATATCTTTCAGAACGAGATTCATGTAATGTGTAATATAAGGTGATCGATAAATATTGTCATATTTCTCATGTATAATCTCCACAAACCTCTTAATGTTTATACCATTATTAGCCACTAATTGCACAATAGTTTCTGACAACTCATTCAACAACATCAACAAATAATGAACATAATTATAATGTCCTTTTGTGATACAAGAAGCATCCACATTTTTAAAAAATAAACACTTGTGATGAATAAACAAGAAAAAGTACTAAGGTTCGATTTCATTTATCCATCCAGCCATCTACCATTAGAGTATAGCTAATTTCTTTCTAAGTTCTCTTGTATGAATCAATAAGTAGATCGCACTCTTCTTTTTATCTCTTAATAAGTTTACTCTCATTCTATAGTATGAAGGTAATATGTAACTTGGACTTATGATAACAATTACATCAATAGCATTTTTATGCAAAAGTTAAATTCAAAAGATTAGAATACATGCAACAATAAATAAATAAAAAAACACCTTATTAGGGCCAAATAGCACGGTTTATGACATCCTTAAATGCCAAAACACTTTTTAGTGATGGTTGGGACCCAAATTTTATTCTATGTGCAAAATAGTTATTTATTTCATCAATTATTCTCTTCCCTTTATCAAGGCCTTTATGATGTGCATTTGAGCTATATGATTTAGGAAGAGAGGAAGAACTCCCATTTCTTCTTGAATAGTATTATAAAAAAATACATGTGTACTCTCTTAGTCCTCCTATACTTGCTATTTCTTTTTAGATATATCTTTCATGTTCTTTTACCTTTGATAATGTAATTCATATGAGATTTTTACATTAAGTTGTATTACCTTAAATCTCTACTATGTGCTACTCATCCTATTAATACCTCCTCTATTGTAAGTAATTTCATAATGTTGACACTTAAATTTAGGGGTGTCAATATTTGACACGACCCGAAAATCCGACCCGAACCCGACCCGAAAATTTCGGGTTAGGGTCAACCCGAACCCGAAACGGGTCGGGTTCGGGTTCAGCATTTCGACCCGTTTCAAAAATCGGGTCGGGTTCGGGTTAACCCTTTGACCCGAAATTGACCCGAAAGTGACCCGATTTTGACCCGAAAACCCGATTTTGACCCGGCAACCCGAAAGTGACCAGATTTTGACCCGTTTTTTGACCCCGAAAAGAGGAGTTTGACCCGTTTTTGACCCGAAAATTAGCCATTTTATTGTTGGAAACGGGTCATTCGGGTCGGGTCGGGTTGACCCGGACCCGAAGCGGGTCGGGTTCGGGTCAGGAAAATTGACCCGTTTTTAAAAACGGGTCGGGTTCGGGTTGACCCGAATAGTGCCGGGTCAGTTTCGGGTTTGACCCGAACCCGACCCGTGACCCGAAATTGACACCCCTACTTAAATTATCTCTTTCCAACATGACCTTTTTACTGGTTAAAATGATTCCAAGCAATATCAACTTTCTCATTTGACCTATATTTTGATATCTGGGAGCCCTACTTAATATTTTGATGATTACAAATATTATTTTTTTTTTATTATTTTTTCATGCTTTATATACATTATATATTTCTTTTGTATGTCACTAACTATTTCAGGAACAACATACATTGAGTTGGAGTGAAGAATCAGACTCAATAGTGCAACATCAAAGTCTAAGTTAGTTTGTAATAGAGTTTGTACTTTTCTTTTCTCTTGAGTCATTTTATGCATTACATGTATATGACTAGACAACTGAGCACAGACTCACAAGGAGGATAAAATTTGAATACTTAATTTTTTCTATTAATTGTAACATATGATCCCAATTGTACTATATGATATGTTGAAATAAAAATTAGTTCAAATATTTAATTCAATTAGATTAATTAAATTGAATTATAGCTAATCATATTATACGACCTTTAATCGTACTTGACGATTAACTATTTTGATGAACCCCATTGTTGAATTTATGTTACTATAATTAAGAAAATTTAAATTTTGATATTTGAACTAATCGCACTATTCAAACATTAATGAATATTGTTAAATTTTATTATGTTGATTAAGGAATCAAATAAGAATAAAATTTTAATTAATGATTATACTATATGATACATATCATACATGCCAATCAAATAGAGAGCTCATTGACCACAGTTCATCCCAGATGATCCATGATTTGATATAACTAATTATACTATACAATTATATATCGTACAAGATGATTAGTAATTGGAATTAAACTAATCATACTATAAGATCTAAGTATTATACTATACAGTTAGGAGCTTAAATTTGAAAACTAGGGTTTTGATTTAATAACCCACTTTATAAACTTAACAATAGACTTGAGGGTCTGAAGGTTGAGTAGCTACAGATGTTTTTCTAGGGAGAGAGATTGAGAGAAAGAGAGAGAGTCTCCTTCCTTATAAGAGGGTGTCTAAAATGCTTGGGAGAGAGATAAGGTGAGGTTGATGGAGAGTTTTCATTGACTGCATCAAGAGGTGTGAGGGGATTCTCATAGTTATTCTTATTAGCTTGCACCTTGATTCCTTCACGTTGTGGTTATGGAGCTCTTGGAGGAGAGCTCTAAGAAAGTCTTTAGGAAAAAAGATTTATTATTTGAGGAGGCCAGGGGAAAATATCTCCACCATATTGAGGAGCAGAAGGATGGGACAATATCTTTTCCATAGCAAGGAGTTGAAGGAAGGGAAGATATCTTTATCATATCAAGGAGCTAAAAGAGGGAGCATCATCTCAACCGTTGCAAGGAGTATGTAGGAGCAACATCTCCACAGTGTTAGGAGCTGAAGGAGGGAATGAAATTTCCATCAATGTGAGAATTAGGGAGGGGGAGCATCTTCTCTACTATATAAGGAGTAGAAGGAGGAATGACATCTCTGCCGTGTAAGGAAGCTGAAGGAGGGAGATTCTTTGGGGCTAGAAGAGTATGTAAAGATAATTCTCCACCTAGTAAGGGAGAAGAGATCTCTTTCTGGTTGAGTACTAAAAAAGCATGTGTTGCAACTTGAGCTTATGAGTTTATATTTTTTGATGATAACAAATATTATGGTTCACTTTCTGCTGCCTATCTGTACTTGAATTTTATGTTTATTTATGTGTGTACTAACTTTTCAGGACTACGATACACTACTCAAGGCTCAAGATTTGGGAGAACTGTTTTACTTGTAATTTTCACTGATGTAATTTTTTATTTCTTGAGTCATGTCTTGTAGGGGTGCTTGCTTGCTTTGTAACCTTGCACACACACACTTGGAAATTTTTCTGTCTGATTTAGAGTTTACTATTTTTGGTCACATCATACGGGATGATCCGTACATCGTCCTAGACGATCTGTCAAAAAAATAGAAACCCTGATTAGAGCATCTTAGCCATGGCAACCATCATATCACATCGTCTTGGACGATTTTGTATCGGCTAGGATGATAGGCTCAAAATAGAAAGAATCAGCTGCCATATCTATTTAGGTATTAGTTATTTTTGGACATCGTCTAGGGCATCGTCCAGGGTATCATCCTGGATCGTCCTGATCGATCCAGCACAATTTTGTTGGTGGAATTTTGAAAATAGGTTTTAAAAATATTAGTTCTCTTTGGAAATTTTAGAGTTAGAGTTTAATTATAATTCCAATATCGAATCATCCCGTTAGAAAGAGTATATCACCTCGAAAGGTGGAAATAAAATTTTATGACGGTGTTCAGAATTAGAATTATGAATCTCATCTTGAATATTGTAATTGGATGCTAAAGGGAAGTTCATATGGCCCCGAAGGGTCAAAGTGAAGTTCAACTAAATATCCGGCTATAATATTTAAGAAGTAAGATCATTAAGTTCACATCTAAAGCCTTATCAAAGAAAGATGAATCTCCCCGAAGGGAGATAACGTCATTCAATGATAATTCTTTGAATGTGATAATGACAATCATCCTTTTATCTCTCCCAAAGGAAACCAATATAAATTTTGGAAAATCAATTTTTAAAATCAGGTGTGTGTGGTTCTAAATCTCCTATGAGCGTAAGCCCTCATAGTTAATTACATCGTAGGGAGATAGGGTCCCCTACAAAAACTCTTGATTAAAATAATGATGGAACTTTGTTAGATTTTCTATGAGTGATATCAAAAAGGTATGAATTTTGGAAACTTAAAAGGGAATGAGTCAAAATTGAGCAGTTATTATCAAAATCAACGTAAGAAAAGTAGGGGACACTTTGAGATTCTGGAACCATCCGGAAGTGTCTCAACTTAATCTAAGTGTTGTGCTTTACATTTTGGGTTGAAAGAAGATTTAATTAGAGTTGAGCATTTTATTATAAATTTAGGATTAGATTTCCGAAGTTTGGGGTCTTATAATCAAGGATATGCCCCAGATCCTAAATCTAATTTGGACATTGGACCACAGTCGTCCAAACCTAACTAATGCAGTGTAAGGTATGGACTTACAACTATAGAAAAATCACCCAAAACTGGCGATTTTTTCTGGAGGCTTTGATGGTAAAATTGGCAGTTTTCAAAACCACCGGCGGCTTTTCGACGGTTCTCGCGTTAGATCAACCGCCGGCAAGCGTCGGTACACCGCCGGCAAGCGTCGGTACACCGCCGGCAAGCGTCGGTACACCGCCGGCAAGCGTCGGTACACCGCCGGCAAGCGTCGGTACACCGCCGGCAAGCGTCGGTACACCGCCGGCAAGCGTCGGTACACCGCCGGCAAGCGTCGGTACACCGCCGGCAAGCGTCGGTACACCGCCGGCAAGCGTCGGTACACCGCCGGCAAGCGTCGGTACACCGCCGGTTCAACACCGGCGGTTACTCGGTGGCTTGGCCGACGGTCTTACCGGCGGTCTAGACCGCCGGTCGTTCACCGGATGACCGCCGGGTGCCGTCGGTAGATTGCCGGTATATTACCGGCGGTTGAAAGAAATTACCGGCGGTGTCAATCAACCGTCCGGTATCGTCGTCTTCGTACATCCTTTTGGCTCTAAAGTTGATCTTCATAATTTAAGTCTAAGGAAAGTACTTTGTACATCCTCTTGCAAATGTCTAGTGAGAACATCCATGACCAAAGCAAAAAATATATGGACTTAAGGCTGATCCTTGATGTAATCCAACCAAATTAGAGTTAACGAATATATAGTTTTAGATCTACTCAACCAATATAGCTTTAGATCCTGGACTTAAGACTTCAGTTTTAGATATAATCAACCAAAATATATGGACATAACAAAAAATGGTGGATAGATTTTGTTAATGATAAATAGTTTTAACTTATAACTAGTTTTAACTTATAACTAATTAAGTTATGGGTTAACTTATAACTTACTTTATTCAAAAATGTTAATTTCTATCCCTCTCTCTCTCTCTCTCTCTCTCTCTCTCTCTCTCTCTCCCTCTCTTTTACACTTGCTTGCTCTCTTTCTCTCTCTCTATATCTCTATCCCTCTTTCTAGCTCTCTCTCTCTCTATCTATCTCTCTTACTCTCTTTCTCTCTCCCCCTCTCTCGCTTTTCTCTCTCAACTCATTAGATCTATTATTACTAAAATTACACTTAATAAATTCAAATTTAGATCTACTCAATCGATTACAAGATTACCTATTACAAATGTCTAGATTATAACCTAAAGCATACACTAAATCACAAACTCTTACAAATGTCTAGTGAGAACAAATAATCACAGAAAAAAATTCAAGTTTACCTTCAAATCCTGGTTTTCCTTCAACTCCCACGAACACTAGGGCGGCCAGTGTGAGATCGACGGCGGAAAGACAGCTAGCTTCGAGGGCGACCGATGTGGGCGGCAGTCGGCGGCCGGAGAGAAGTCATCGGCGATTGTCAGCGAGCTCGATCAAGCGAAGAGGCGGGCGGAGGAGACGACAGAGCTCGTCTGAAGTGAGAGAAGGGAAGAATAGAAATGAAATGGGAGGCTCGAGCCTGTTAATTTTAGGGCTTTTACCGGCGGCCTTCCGACAGTCTAGGCCGTCGGTAATGAGTTCACTTAACAACGGTGGTATGAGCCACCGGTAATAATGATGTACGACGATTCATCCGGCGGTTACATGACCGCCGCTATTATCGATGGCCTAAACTTATAAAAACCCCAATTAGACCACCGATAATAGCCGGCGGCCAAACTGTCGGTGCAACTGCCGTTATTATCGGTGGCCATATAATCGCCAGTCAAGGCCGCCGGTATTGGGTGTTTTTCCTGTAGTGTACCCCGGCCTGGATTGGGGAGACAACTAACCACCTAAGCGATTTAAAATACATGAGTCCAGTCTTTTATGAAAGAGTGGTAGGGATGTTTTATTTAAAGTTTTGGAGAGTTGGGGCAGACATCTAGAGATTTTTATAATTGGCCCCTTTGACATATGTTGGGTGCAAAATGCTAAGGACTAATGCAATTAGAATTTTGACTCTTATAATTTATTTCTAATGCAATGCATGCTAGTTAACAACTTCAAATCATATATGCTTAAAATTTTAAAAATAGGCTTAGAAAATAATTTTTTAGAAGACTGAGCTTCCCAAGGTCCGGCACCTCGTCCTCATAGGTCAGACTATCCGTACTCTACCCGCAGGCGACGAAGGGTCTAAAATAAGGAGAGATTAATGCAAAAATATGCATGTGACTACGGGCCGGCTAATTCCTTAAATTCGTTATCTTTCTATATTATTTAGACTCACTGAATTTTGGACTTTATAATTATGAGTATAAAAATTTTTACATCCTCATAAGTCTCACGAGTCCAGACGAAAACAAAAGCGGCACACAAATGCTAAAAAACTAAGAAAAGCAGGCAATCATTTCAACACATCAAATATAAATGAATTAATTAATAAATATCCATAGGCAAAGTTGCCTTACTTATTACAAACCAAAACTTACAGAAAATAAAGTGACCGGGCACCACTAACAATAACCCGGATTCTAAATCTAGTAGAGACACAAGTGGTTTTGAATGGGATACTTTCTGTCTTCAATTCTTCAATCTTATTCTCCTTCGGGCTCCTTTTCTTCAGGCTCCTTGGATTCTTCGTAGTATGCTACCCAAATGGATAAGAGGGCACTTCCTTTGAGGGGAAGGCCACTCTTTCCTCTTTGGGTTGGGAAGGAGTGATCCAAATTTGGATCTCCAAATAGAAAAGGGCTACTCCCCTAAGGGGTGTCCTTTTCTCTTTGGAGTCCAAGCTTTGGACATATGTATCCTAGTTCAAAACTCCACTTTCACAACACTTTATATTTGCACAAATTACATTTATATGAAAATGAAAAATTCTAGACTCTCCAGCAGGGTTATCTTAAGCAGTTAATGAATCAAAGAAAATATATTCCCAAGCAGTTATATATGTGCAGAAAAGTAAGTAAACACACTGGCCACGCTCTTTTTATTTGGGGGCTTTAGCAGCTGAAGCACCTGTGCAAGCATTTATAATAATTGAATTTTTTTATTGATTTAGCCCCCCTTTTTATTGCCCTGCATTGCCCTGCATGAGCGTGGCCACCTACAAAAAATTGCGTGAACATCCAGATCATACCTATCCTAGGGGTAATTTAGTCGCCAAACACATCAACCATCCACATAGTGCAGAAAAAATAAACAGACACAGCAAAACAATTTCATCCACAACGTGCAGTAAAAACCATAAAAAATCTGGCACACAGTAGTAAAGTAAATATCGGCCTAACCTAGATCTAGAGTTTGTTGCCCTAGCAAACCATCTAAAGTGTTTGTAGAAGGTCGTGTGGTAGGGGTAGATCCTAAGTTGGGTGATTAGTTAAAGTTGTTTAAAATTCTGAGTTTGTTAAGGCTTAACAGAGGATTTAGATTACAGTCTAAATATTAATATATTAAAAATTTTTGTTAAATATATTTTAAGAGTTAATTGATTACTACCTTTGTTTCACACTGAGGTTGTGAAGTTTATTTCATCTTCCTTGGGGCTAAGTTAATAGCCTCATAGGCCTAGGTTACTTAGTAGTAATCGGGGTTGATTAAGTTAATCTAAATTAGTTGAAATTAAGAGAAGTGAATTAATATTAAGGAGAGTTGATTACTAATTTTAAAAGAGTGGTTGAGAATTTTATTAACCAACTTAGAAAATTCTAGAGTTTGAAAGAGTTAGTGAATTTCGGGGGTTATTTATATATACTAACTAAGGGGTCGAAAGTTGATTTTCAAATCAAAGGGAAAATTAAAGATTTCAGATTTTTAATAAATAATAGACCTAATTATGAGTTGTTAGACATGTAATACACTCAATTTGGAATTTTATATCAAAATTTATGAATTATTGAAGTTTTGACCCGATTTTGACATAGAGTTGACCAAAATATTGACTTTTTGACTTTGACCATATTTTAGGGATTTAAATTTTTTAGAAAATACTAGATTTTAATATGAGTCATTGGCCACTAAGTTTGATTGATTTGAAATTTTCTATAATTAATGGTGAATTTTGGAAGTTTAAAGATTTATTGGAATTTTGTTAATATTTCCATTAAGGGTCTTTTCTAGCGATTTGAGCCCAAATGGATCTTAAACTTCTTGAAATCCATTCCAAAGATCAGAAATGATCTTAAGGAAAGATCAACAAGTGTTTAAAGTTTTTTTGGGATTTTTAATAATTTTTAATTAATTAAAATTGATTAAACATTGATTTTGATTAAAATTAAATTAAGGTGAATTTTAAAGTAAATTTAAAGCGATTTAAATCTCTACTGATTAATGGATCAATTAGGGTAAGTTATAGGTATTTTAAGGAATTTTAGGAGCTAATCTTGATTTATTAGAATTTTGTTAAGGCTAAAGGGTGATTCTAAGGGGGGGATATTAAGGCTCCTATTTGGTGGACCAAATGGGCTCCAAACCTGATGAGATTTAAACCATGGGATCAACTGATCCCAAGGCCTAAACAAACCAAATTTGGGCCTAATTGGAATTCTCTAAGGTGGCTAACTAAGCCACCTAAGGTGATCTAAGTCTGTTGCAAATCTATTTTCATGGATTATGTTTTGATGA